GTGAAAAAGATACAAACAAAGGGAAGTGTATGGTGATAGGGAATGGTCAGACTGGGAAAAACTATTTGACAGTTTTCTCAGCTGTGACAAAAACATTCTCAGGCCCACCCCGTGCAGCCTATATTCCTATGATGAACTGTTTTAATATCAGTGACAGAATACACTAAGTTGCTAAAAAAGAAGCAAACCTCTGACTACAACATACGAAGTATACTATAGCATTACAGATTTGTAGATTTAAACGCATATGTTATTTACATTTAAATATTAATTAAAATAGTTATGTCACTTATAGGTAAAAAAACATGCTTGAAGTTACGCTTAAAGGATACATCTATGAACTTCATGAAAGGTGTCCTAGAGAACTTGGCCTTTTCTATTTTCGAAAAGTTGGCTGACCAATTCCAGATTGGAAAAGTTCATGCATTTATAAGCTAACTCATTTTTCAATTTTAATGTGGGGGTTTAAGGAGCACATAGTTTATATTATAGAGCGTATTTTTAAAAGTTAATAGCACAATAGATGAGATAATGTTATCTTAGGAATTCAGTTTTTGATATTATGATAAAGTAAGAACTAAAAGAATAACGTTAACATGTGTGTCAGTTCAGTTAAGTTTTGAGGGGTCTTGGTCAGTAAGTCAGTAACTGTCCGAGTGTGAAGATTGAGAGGAGGTGGCAAAAGATCAATCCACACACAGAGATAAATTCACATTGACAGTCCATACCTGCAGTGCAAGGCTCAGCCCACCATTTTCTTCTTTATCAAAGTACAATAACTTCAGATAGATAAGCTTTACACCTTAGACTATTAAAACAAATATGAATATGAATATGAATATGAATATGAATATGAATATGAATATGAATATGAATATGAATATGGAAAAATTGTCCTCTCACCCCAAGTTTGTCTCTCTAGCGCTGTCCTAATGGGATAACATGAACAAACCATAAAGTTAGGTACTAAATATGTAAGCTATGACCCTACAATGTATAATGTGTACTAAATATTATGGAGTATTCATTTCTGAATATAAAAAACATGAAATTCCTCATTTTCATAACATATTACATATTACTTCCGTACGCTTGGTCAAACTTGTGCATTGGCAAACGTGAAATGTTGACTGATGCAATTAAAAAAGAACGGAGGAAGTATATGTGTTCCAAAAAAACTAGAGTATAAATGTACTTAATTTTTTAGCACCTGCTAGCTCATGCGAGTTAGTACTTCGAGGCCGTTTGGCAACATTATTTTTCGGCTTATCGGGCTTATCAGCCAACTTTTTTACCAAACATGTAACTTTCGTTTTCGCGGGCTAAATTATGTAATAGGCAGAAAAAATAAGGTTGATGTTACTTTTCTGACTGTTAAGTTACTATACATGACCATTTTAGTTATTTTACGTATAATTTTTCCTTTATTTTATTAATAAAATATATTTTAAAAATAATTTTTTTCTTAAATTAGAAGAATCAGGTAATGCAACCACTTCAATCAAAACTTCATAAATTTCAGCAGAATTAGGCAAAACAATCGGTTTTCATGCTACGAAACGGTCTCTGCATATGATAATGAATTTGACCAATAGTGTTTTTGCTGAATTTTTTGAGTTAATCTTACACATGAAGTTGTGAGATAAATAAATGGGACCTACGTATAAGGATGTGTAAGAGGACTAGAATCCCGATTAGAGATGGCTTTAAGGCTACACGTCCATGGATATTACTCTTGAAAAGAGGTGGATAAAAATGTGATTTACTACCTCCGTCCCAAATTGATTTGCAAATTTGTTTTTTCTTGGTCAAACAATTTCATTTTATTCGCTTAATTAGGATGTCAATTTTTATTTAGATTCTAATTTGGAGTTCGCAACTTTGAAGAGATTCTAATGTGGCCGATTACAAACTATATATGGAACTCAGACGGTCAGACCAATAATCATAAAGGTTTTAGGAATAAGGAAAAGTAAGAAGGGTAAGCAAATTTTAGTAAAGCCAGTGTATTCTGCTTGTAATCTGTGTTATCTTCCGATAGTGGGTGGCAAGATTGCCAATTATGTATTAAATTTCATGATTTTTGCACCTAAAGAAAAATTAGTGTCTTATCTGCACTTTTATCCCTACCACTAGTTTTTTCCACGCGCGTTGCGCGATTGAATAAAATGCCCAATGATTTTACTTATTGAAAAATGTATATTATATGTTGATTTGATATAATTGTTGTTAGTACTTGTTAACATTTGTGTCAATTTAACAATTAAGTATCTATTTTTTAAATAAAATTAAAATTACATTGATTCGTCATTGTCATTTTATAAATGTATCCAGACAAAGTGTCTGGTCATGAGTAGGGGTAGCCGGGTAGGTACTGAAATGCCTCACCGGTACTGTCTGGTAGAATATAAAAAATAAAGAATGTTATATTAAGATCACAAGTTAATCCTCCTATTAGGCTGACCTATAGGATGAAACCTGATATCCACCCGTATCTAGAAAATGTCTACTGATTTTCATGTATAAGGGAAGTTGATATCCAATGCTAACGGGAAAAGTTCTCAAAAAAATTGTCACAAGAGCCAAGAAACTTGGCATACAAGTGTCAACCATAAGAAGCTATATTTGATCAATAATCAAATATGCAATGGATTCAGAACACAAACAAATTTGTACACAACAACAACGATTAGATCAATTAGCATTTGATCTTCTATGCTCCGGGATATCATGAACCCATGTTTGGTTTAAGGTTAAAAACATTCAGATATTGAGCACCTACCTTTATAAACCATTCTAAGATTATGATGTGTATGTGCACAAAACAATTTTTGTTTTAAATAACAACCCCCTTGGAATTTCCCATTAGATTTGAAATCTATTGATAAAAAAATGAAGAACAAAAGTGCAAAAAATAACTGAAAAAATGCAATCTACAGAGTACATAAAACGAAGTTAGAGAGTTTGATCAAAATGGTATTTTGGAATATTGTGAGGCTTTTTTAACTTTTGAATTCTTAGTAAGTTTTATCATTAGTTGACTATTATGAAATAACTACCTTTTATTTTAATTTTGTATACAACTATATGTTTATTATTATTATTATTATTATTATTATTATATGGTCTGCTGGTTTATCATTGGTCGGGTTGACCCATGACCCGGTCACGTGGCTGGCTCGCTTCCTCGTCCAGTTTCTTAAACATAGTTAAATACTTAGAGCTTGTTTGGTAGCATGAAAATCGGCTGTTTTGGTTGATTCTATTGAAATTTATGAAGTTTTGGCTAAAGTAGATGCATTGGCTGATTCTGCTGATTTAAGAAAAAAGTTATTTTTAAAATATATTTTATTAATAAAATAAAGAAAAAATTATACGTAAAAATAGCTAAAATGGTCATCTACAGTAACTTCAGCCAACAAAGCCAGAAAAGTAACTCCAACCTTACTTTTTCTGCTTATTACACAATTCAGCGCGCAAAAGCAAAAATTACGTGTTTGGTGAAAAAGATGGCTGATAAGCCTGATAAGCCGAAAAACAGTGTTGCCAAACGGCCTCGTAACTTTTGATTTAACACACAGAATTGCGCAATAATAATAATCGATATAAGGATGAAGTTACTTTATTTGTGAATGAAGTTATTGCACGTAGATAACTATTATAGCTATTTTTATACGTAGTATAATTTTTTCTGATTGAAAATTTACTTTAAATATAATTTTCTCATAATTTGGCAGATTTAATTAATCAATTCACCTGTTTGAGTCAGCATTTCTTCAATTTCTACATATTCATGTGGTTATGTCAATTTTAATATGATCATACGGCTCTTAATTTTATACTCTCATCCGTTCTGAAAAGGTTGGTCGTATTTCCTTTTTTGGATGTCCCAAAACGATTTCCATTTCCATTTAAAGTAAGGAATATGTGACTAAAGGTAATTCTCTCTCCTCTGCACAAACTTCAACCACATAATTTTTATTTTATTAATTCACGTGAAAGTCAACTTTGACCAATCTTTTCGGGACGGGTGAAGTATCTTGCTTGAGAAAGAAAGAACAAAAAATATCAATACTCCCAAAACTTGTACGTAGTTATTTTTGGAAAAATTGAAAATAATAATCTCAACTATTACCGGTCCGCTGATAATAATCCAAACTATTGATTATTTTTGTATAATCCAAACTATATGGACCGTCCGCCAATAATGGTCCATGACCAGATATTACCTCCCAAAAAGTGAATTTTGAATAGAAATTAAGTGTAAAAATTAAAAGTTGGGATTATTTATAGGGATTACTTGCTATATCTCTCCTCATCCACTTTAGAAACTACATGAATTTATTTATAGAGATCATTATTGGCGGAAGGTCACTAAAGTTGGGATTATTCTGAAATAATCGATAATTGGGATTATTATAAGCGGACCGCCAATAATTGGGATTATTAGTATCAATTTTTCCTTTATTTTTTTTGATCAAAAAACAATCTTACGAAAGATTATGCTTTTCCCATCAATAGCAAGTAAAAATAAAAGAGTTAGTGCTTGGGGATAATCAATAATGGACTCTGACCGAGTCTCACACACTCATGCAATAAATAATCAAACGCTATGGAAGACGAGAAGCTTTAAACTACGGAGTATAAGTTAATTAACGGAGTGAAGGACTTGTCTGGTACTCTGGTATTAAACCCAAAGTACCCTTACCCTCATTCACTATTATAACATTTTAGATAGTGGCTAATTTGCCCCTTTTCCCGTTTTCCGGTATTGACCGGGTTGTTTCTTGGTCCGGTTTTTTAAACATAGGACCAAACACTTCTGCTTGACCAAATCATATTAGATTTTTAAATAGAGCAGACCAAATCAAAGAATATTAATGGTGCCAAACATAGGCTAATGGGCTGACTATGTTGGCAAAACCCAAAACACATAAAAAAACAGGTAATATGAGTTTGGGCCCAAATGTTCATCTCCCTCCCTGCATTCCGTTTTCTGAAGAGTGAAGAGTGAAGGTAGTTATAGAAGCAGGCAGGCAGCAGAGCAACCTCATCCAGGGAAAGAGTCAACAATGGGAGGCCGAAGTCGGTCCCGAACGCAGAGGAAACACTTCCGGCATCCTAGAGTTGACGGACGGAAACGCCTGAAGTCGGATTCCCAGAAACCGCCTAACAGAGCTCCGTCAGCCGATGATGAAGCTAACGGGGACGCCACCAATAGTAACCCCATAACGGAGCCTTTCTACAAGCACAATCTTTCATTCGAAGAATACTACAAGGTGCGTTGAGCCGTTGACGCTCTGTATATTTCCCATTTCCGTACGTGTGAGTATGCACAGGCTCAAATTAGGATTTAATTTTGCAGGAACAAGGCATTGTGTCGCCGGAAGAGTGGGACACTTTCATTGAATATCTCCAAACACCGCTCCCTGTTGCTTTTAGAATCAATTCCAGGTCTCTATTAAAATCTATCCGTACAAAGTAGTATAATACAATGGATTTCAGCTCATCCGTTTCGAATCACGTTTCTCTTGTTTCTAGAGAAAAATGTCCATATGTGAAGTGGCGTAATGATGGCCTCGTTTCTATTCATGGTTTATTTACATAAAAATATAATTGTGGGTACCCTGTTTGTTTGGTATCTAACGCCCATTCAGTTTCATGTGTGATCAAAAGGTGTAAAAAACGATTAGGTCCTTACTATCTCTCCCTGTAAAACGTCCACAAGGTTTAGCCTTTTGAGCTTGTGGTTTATGGATGTTTTCTTTGTTGCATTCATAAAAACTGTAACTTTGTTACTTATGAACATTGTACTGTTGTGAATGCTGCACATTATTTAAAAAAGAACTTCCTATTTCCAAGTATTCATTAGCCCTTTCACTGATACCCTATTGCAGGACGCAGTGTTATATGGATATTAGATCAACGTTAGAGGATGATTTCATGAACTCTCTTCAGGCAGAGGTTTGTCCCTCCTAAACGCGCACAAGCACACGCTAAAGTAAGAGTCCATACTCGTAACTATAAACTCAACCAATCCCCTCAGATTTCAGATGGGAGTGAAGTTGAGGCAATTAAACCTTTGCCTTGGTACCCAGATAACCTTGCTTGGCATTCCAATTTCTCTAGGAGCCAGTTGAGAAAGAATCGAACTCTTAAGAGGTACATGGTACTTTTTACTTAATGCCGAGAAACACTGCTCCTGCAAAAGTCTTGAACACACAGAACAGGTCATATACAAACAAAAGAAACTAGAAAACATCTATGACCCTGTGCTTTCTTCGCCCCGCCTTTCCAAGAAAGATAGCTCTATGCAACCCATTACCCACATAGGTACCACACAAAGTACTGCCAAAGTGCCAATGAATCAAGATAAAAAGTATTAGATTGTCTATCAATATTATCTTCATCAGGTGTTTTTCTTTGTGAAGTTATAGACAATAATTGTAAATAACTTTCCAATCTAAACCCCTTGAACGTTAAGTCGTGTATAGAATACCTTGAACACCCTTTGTGAAAAATGGAGCACAGGCCCATGCATTAGCTTCATGTAATGGGGCATTTGTGTATATATATGCAAGCACATATGAATTACCAAATTAATATTTTATTGTTTAAAATGATAAAAATTTCAAGTTCCACGAATTCTTGAAACTACAAAATGAAATTGGCAACATTACAAGACAGGAAGCTGTTAGCATGGTGAATGAACTTTACATTCATGTGTATTTGGAGTATGCTCCTTACTATCAGTTGTATCACAGTCATGACTTTCTGCTTCCATTTTCACTAACTTCAAAATTGAGGTCTACTATAATGTGCTGGACTTAACCTTTATTTTCCAACTTCTTTGGTTCAGGTTCCTCCACTGTTTCTAGATGTACATCCGGATCATTTTATTCTTGATAGTAAGCTTCTCTTTATAAATCATAAGTTCAAAGTTGAGGGAAAAACTCATATGAATGAGAAGGATCTTTGTCTGACATGCTATTCAATTGTAAAAAATATGTTTACAGTCTTTTCACTCTTTTGTCTGGTTTGTTCCTGATAAAGAGTACATTTTCTCATGCCCCCCCCCCCCCCCCCCAAAAAAAAAAGAAACAGATTTTGACTATTTTTTTTTACCAATGTAGTGTGTGCAGCTCCTGGTTCCAAAACATTTCAATTGCTTGAGATGATATACCATGAGGGTGTTCCTGGATCACTGCCTACTGGAGTGGTACATTCATGTTCTCTCACTTTTCCCCTACAGTTCGTACGTCCTTAAATACCAAAATATTTTAGCATTTTGGTTATTCTGTACTTTCTCCTTAACTAGTTTCTCACCCGTGCGATGCCAGGGGTGAGAGTTTTTATAAATTGAAAAAGTGAAATATTACTCCCTTCGTCACATAATTAATTTTTATTTTGACTTGGCGCGTGGATTAAAAAGTGGAGTTGTGTGATCTAAAGTGGTCCAAAGAAAACAAAAATGTTATGGACCATAGATTCTTTGCCATAAAAGAAAGAAAAGTTTGTATACAAACAAAGATATATATTTCAAATTGTAATTAAAAGGATAGCAAGAAATCTCAAAAGCTAATTCTCTACCTTTTTTAGAAATTTGAAAATCTAAAGTTTTATTATGGTTTTTTTATCTGTTATTAGAGTAAATTAAGTTGAGTTTGTATGCATAGATGAAAGAGATCTCAAACAATATCAGATAGGTACATCTAGGGCTGGGAAAAAACTCCCAACTCCCGACTCCCGATCCCGATCCCGACAATCCCGATCCCGATAATCCCGATCCCGACAATCCCGATCCCGACTAGTCGTGAATTTTTCCTGATCCCGACTAAGTCGGGACGGGACCGGGATTTTTTTTAAAAAAAAGCCGGGTTCGGGAAAATCCCGACATCCCGACATTATATATATATATGTATATATATATATATATATATATATATATATATATATATATATATAAAGATATGCAAATATATAGATACATATTCATTTTTATATATATATATTCATTTTTTATAGATTCATATATAATTTTATATATGAATCTATAAAAAATGAATATATATATATAAAAATGAATATGTATCTATATATTTGCATATCTTTTTTAATTACTTATTCCTTACATAGATTAATCTTTTACTACGAGTATCTTACAATATCAAACTTCTAAAACTATTTGGAATTTGTCCGAAAATGAATATCTGGGATCCTAACTAAATAGAGATTATTCTTGATCCCGACAATCTAAATCACAACAATATTACAAATTTTGCGGTTCTGATGAACTCTTTAAAAAATTATGATCGAGACTAAGATTTCTTTCTTTAGTAAATAATCATAATATGTATTTATACATTATATTCATTGGTCACAAAGTTTCTCAATGAGTTTACTTAGTTTTGAATTTTAAATAATATACGTTACACATCCTTCTTTTAGTGATTTTTATAAAATGTTTGAAGTAAGTTTCACTAAGCCTTGATAGCTTATTCAAAAATTATACTATTAATTAATTGAAGTTACAAATAAAAATTATTCTAAAAGTATGTACTAGTGTGAATTTGAGAGGATAATTATTACAATAAACTTTATAAGTAGATGATGATAAATATGGTATAACAATGTACAAAGAATAATTTTGAAACCGCTAAATATCAAAGTTAGTGTTTAACTAAAGAAATAGCATAATTTTATGTTTGATACATCATTGTCGGGATTTAGCGGGATTAAGAGGGATTCCCGATCGGGATCCCGACTTAATCGGGATTTTAATGTCGGGATCTCGACTTAATCGGGACGGGATACGGGATCCTCTTGTAGTTTGAATCGGGATCGGGACGGGATCGGGATTTGGGCAATCGGGATCGGGATCATCCCGATCCCGATCCCACCCCTAGGTACATCTATCTCATGATTGATAGTTTTTGAATTCTCAAATCAGATATGCATTTTATCTTTGACATGCTCTATTTTCGTACAAAATGTATTTCATATAAAACATACATAACGTCAACACACATTATAAAAGCATTTAAGTTTATAAGTTCCAAGTTACACTTATATAAACAAAAAAATATTTTAAAATTGCGAGTGTGTCTACAGTTTCATGGCTAAAGGGTGCATAATATTTCATTTTATTTTACACAAATCTTCATCACAACTTTTACTTTTTCACAACTTTTTAAATCTTACCAAACCAAAAGAAGACGCATGAAATGGAACGTAGGTAGTAACTTACTTTATCGATAATTACTTTATTGATTGTACAAATAATTTGTTTGAGTTATATCTGTCACACAAACCTTATTTTTGTCCATCAACGTAATCGTAATATTCTCCCTCAATAAATCAAACTTTTCACCAATTCATACACATTCACTCAGTCAATTTACTTGATTAATCTAATTTCAGTGCTAACAAATGCGTTCAAAATATTTGAATCGCTAGATTTTCATTTTAGCACTTGGGTTTGTTTTAAAAAAATTGAACTTGAAAATCTTTAGCAGTTGAAGTTTAATTTTTTTTAACTTTATATATAGATTATTGGTGTCGTATGAAAGATCATAAAAAGTTATGAAATTCGATATATTTTTGTAAAAATGGAGAATAAATAAAAAATTTATAACATTTTGAATTTTTTTTGGGAATTTCAGTTTGGCCGGGCCCCTCTTTACTCCGCCGCCCAGCTGCCCCAGCACGTTATAGTGCATGTCTTTTGAATTGTTCATTAAGAAGGACAATATGTAAGCTACCAACCATACCATAGGTTGGCAGTGATCGGACCTTTATACCCTTACTTTAGGCGGGAAAACTGTTCATTCTTTCCACTTCCTTTTGTATATAGTGAGATGTTAGTGGTATGTCTATCTTCTTTTTTAATCGCAAAAATATTTTCTCTCATGTGCAAGTCTTTGTGATTTATCTGAACACTAATCTTTGAAGGTGATAGCAAATGATGTTGATGTGCAAAGGTGCAACCTTCTTATCCACCAAACAAAGAGAATTTGCACTGCCAACTTAATTGTCACAAATCATGAAGCCCAACATTTCCCCAACTATCATTTGTATAGACATCATCCCAACGGTTCCGAGATCAGGAGCTTTGAGGTTCCTGATATCACTCAGCATCTATTTGATCGTGTTTTATGTGATGTTCCGTGCAGTGGGGATGGTACTTTACGCAAGGCACCTGGCATTTGGAAGAAATGGTAGTTATATATGTATTTTTGTAGCATTTATTTGTTTTGTAATATATGTATGTTATATCTTAGCCCTTTCTTTTCCTTTTGTAGGAATGTAGGAATGGCCAATGGTCTGCATGGTCTACAAGTTCAGATAGCGATGAGAGGTGTTTTTTACAGTACTTGGGGCCTCTGGGGGGGGGAGTACAGCTGATATGCTTGCATGGTTTTAACCCACATATGCCGACCATCTCTGACTTATATGTTGGAACGTCAAATATCTTTCACTTATTCAACATGGAATGTTCCAACTCTTATTAGTATTTCCCAAAGAGGAGGAATCTGCCTTAAAAATTAAAAATGTACTCCCTCCGTCCCGCTAAGATTGTCTCATCTTTCCTTTTCGGCCCGTTCCACTAACATTGTCTCATGCCAAATTTGATAAAGTTTGTGTGGTTCTAAATCACTCTTGTTTTATTCTTATTTTATGATTTCAATATCAATTACATAAAACCACTTTTCTTAATAACCACACCACCTCTTAATGTCCCAATGTTAATGGGACGGAGGTAGTAAAAAGTTAATCTGTATATTTGGTCACAGTTTAACAATTCTATTCTTTAACTCCCTTCTGATGAAATCATTCTTCTTTGTAACATTAAAGGTAAAAGCTAGGTGATAAGACTGAATAGGGAAACCATGTTTGAGTACATTGACTATAAGAAAACTCTCTTTATCATTTATTCCATCACTTATTATGAGGACAAGCTTAGCTCTTTTAGATCGTGCCAGCCTACCATGAGAAATATAGGATTCCCAAAATATGCTACTAGGCTAGTGATTTGAAAATGGTGTAGAGTCTGTTTGCTAACTATGTATATTGAATGCAATTTTCATAACTTTCCATTCTCTCCTAAGCCTTACTTAAAGCTATGGCTGTTGATCCATGTACTCCAGGTATTTCTTTGCTTAAAGTTGGTGGACGGATGGTTTATTCCACTTGCTCGATGAATCCTATTAAGAATGAAGCTGTGGTTTCTGAGGTATTTTTTGGTTCTTTGAGGTCCAATTAGAATGTTTCCATTCTTTCATTCCTCAAAAGGTCATTTAAAGGGCATGTTAATTGGATTTGTATGAGAAAGGACATGGTGATGCTCAAGGAGGTATTTCTGTTGCTTTACCTTTCTTAGCATTCACAGTAATACCCAGCAGTCCCAGATGTGCAACAGCCAGATCCAATAATTTCAACTTACAATTTCCATCAGCATTCATATAAGATATTCTGGATCTAGGGTAGTCGTAGGGAAACAAAAGCCAAGGAAGATTTCATTCTTATGTTTGACACTTTGGTAATAATTCCAACTTACAATTTCCATATTTGCATTAGCATTCATTTACTGATGACTCATTGACATCTTTTATGTTCAACCAGATAATCATCCTAGCTCTCAATATTGGACTGTTTATTGTATTTTGAACAGTAAATTCAGTCTACCTATGCTTTCATCATTTTTAAAGTTGCTTGTCTTTACCTACCCTTTTCACCATCATGTCACGAATTATTGTGCTCTATTTCAAGTTTCAACTTCATGATTATCTTCTTTTGGCAGGTTCTGCACAGGTGTGGACAGTGTGTTGAACTTCTTGATGTCTCCATTGAGATTCCGCATCTAATTCGCCGCCCAGGTCTTAAAAAATGGAAGGTGTTTGTGAAACTATTCTCATGGATATCAATATATTTTGTTTCACTTCATTATGTTTTGGGGATCACTTGGCTGTGCCTTAAAGATATGGTTATCTAAGTCTAAGTGGTCCTATAAATATAATTAAATGTTTACATATGAACATAGCTCTAAGTTTTATAGAATGGCAGCTAAAAGTTTCATGTGGAAACATTACCAAGACTAGGCTATGTTGCACCTATGCAGAAAATGTCAAAATAGATCATTTGGAATTACCATGTTTTCATGGAAAACAGTCATTGAAAACGTTGTCATAGTTTGTTCATGTTTTCTCCAAACTGTAAAAACAATATTTTCCAAGAGTTTATGTGCATCATTGCTACCAAGACCCTAGCTAAAATGAGAAATATAATGGTCGCGTCTGTGATAGCTTGCAGATCCTAAGAATATGAAAAAAGATATACCAACCTAATACGGAGAAAAGGGTCAAATAAGGCCTTTTACTATTACAGAATCGTCACATAGTGTCATATACACACGTCTACTTATAAAAAGCAATCAAATGAGTCCTAACGACCCACTGACAACCTTCTAATCCCGAGTTTAGCTTACGTGTCGTTATTAATTCCCTGAATTTAAGTCAATTTTGGCTAAATATTCCACGTCAGCTTTATAAACTATTTGGAAAAGATAGCGAGACATATGCTAAAATCGGGATTACGAGGTTGTCAAAAGGTCATTAGGACTCATTTGATTGCTTTTTATAAGTAGACGTATCTATATGACACTTTATTGAGTACATGACTTTATGTGATGATTTCTTAATAGTAGAAGGCCTTATTTGACCCTTTTCTCCCTAATATGTATGTGTATATTCAAAGGTTTAAAATCCCATTAGAGCTCAGTGGTATTGGCCTTGCAAGGTAAAGATGGGAAACTCACCTAGATTGACAACATGTCTAGATCTTATGGGAACATTTCTTCCATTTGATTTATCTCAATGCCTTTAAATGGCATTTGCAGGTTAAGGATAAAGAAGTGTGGTTGAATTCTTACAAAGATGCTCCAAAACCTCGCAGAGGTTCAATTGTTCCTGGAATGTTTCCTTCTCAGTGTAACTGGAGTTTTGAAAATGTGATACACATGGACAAAGAACACACAACTTCCACTAGCATCCTGGAAGAGGAAGTATCTACATTACCTTTGGAGCGCTGTATGAGAATAGTGCCTCATGATCAGAACACTGGAGCCTTCTTTATTGCTGTCTTTCACAAGCTTTCAAATCTGCCAGGTAAATCTTATAGAGTATTAGTTTGAATCAGTTCCGTAGAAGATATAGAGAACTTTCTGGGTATGATGTTCAATGATGCTAGTGTATTAGGCATTACCACTGAATGGGTTATAATTTAAGTAAAAGTGGTCAGTCAGCTAAGTCATACAGAATCGGAAAGCAGCTTTTTTAGAATATATCTGAAATGAAACGTGGGCGAAACAAGCAAAAGTAAACAATTTAGGACAATTTTTTGTAAAACACTAATTAAATAATTATGTGTATTTGTGTGTTTTTTTTCCTGGAGTAATTAGGGTTGAAACTCACTCCATTGAATTTCCACCGCTTGTGTGCCTAGCGGGATTAGAACTTGAGACCTCCCACTAGACACGGTAACCTCACAACCAGCTGGACTGGAATGCTTGGTTGTGTATGTGTATGATTGTGCGCGCGCGTGTGTGTATATATATATATATAGAGAGAGAGAGAGAGAGATGATTCTGTCCAGCACTCCCCTGTCCGAATGCCGTCTGAACATAGAGAGAGATGACTGCGTTTTTATATGTATATTTTGGCGCAGTCAACTTTAAAAAATGATTTGACTGCATTCCCGATCGAATTTTGAACTGAAACTTTTTGTGGATAAACTAGACTTGATGAGAAACATGCTCAAAAAATTCCACCGGGAACCGCCCCAAACGGCGGTGTTCGGACGGGGGAGTGCTGGGCAGGATCATTTCTCTCTCTATATATAATATGACCGTGAAGATACCAAAAATAATAATATTAATAGTAAATCATCAAATTTAAATCTACAAATTGTTCAGTTATTAATGCATAACAAAATGTATAATGCAACATAAGTAAAATAAATTAAATTTCAGTAGATTCATTTCCACGTAATTAAATCATCACTAAAGAAATCCCATTCAAGATCTGGTTCATCCAAAGACTGATATGAAAAATTCAAAATCCCTATATCATCCAAGCTTCCAAATTGATCTCCATATCCCATATTTTAGTATGCCCTAAGTGTATTCCACAGAATTGGAGATGAATATTATTCTATATAAATACTAAATATTCATCTGATTTATTCTCCAAAGAATTGGAGATAAAACCCATTCAAATGTGGGTGTTGGTGGAGATCAATTTGCAAGCTCTGAAGATGTTGAGATGCTTGAATTTGTCAATATGTTTTTTGACGAACCAGATCTTCAACGTGTTTTCTTTAGCGGTGACGTGGAAAATAAATTCATTGAAGTTTAATTTATTTTATTGCTAATACGTTTTATATTTGTTATGCATTAATATCTGAACAATTTCTAGATTGATTTTGATGAATTACTACTAGCTGGAGATGTATCTTATTGAATCAAAAGTCAGAACATGGTGAATGAAATGGAAGGATGTCTCAGAACAGTTGATGAGTTCCTACTGTTATTATTATCACTTATAGAAGAGGATGCATCTTATTGAATCAGAACTTGGTGGGTGAAATGGAAAAATGCCTCATGATTTCTATGTGATCAAGGTATGCCAACAAAATCGAAGAGTAAGTTTTATTGGACAACAACTGGGCTTGCAATATTGTATGGCATAGAATATTGGGTGGTGAAACAATATCACATTAAAATGATAGGTGTGGTTGAGATGTGAACATACTGAAAAAGACTGCTTAAAGAATGAAATAATTAGACAAAGGGTGGGAGTAGCACCAAATAAAGTTAAAATGCGAGTGTCGATTACAGTGACTGAGTGACTTGACCATATGTGTATAAGACCAAGTGATGCACATATTAGATGAATTGAGAGATATAGAGAAGGGGCAGAGAGGAAAGGATGATCCAAATAGGTGTGAATTAGAGTGGTCAAGAATGATACAGTACTTGGATTAGATGAGAATATGACTTTTAGTGCTAGTTTAGAGGATTGAACTGTTTTTGTTTATATGCCTTTTCGGTACTGGGGTAATATTGTTATATTTAGGGTTCTGCTTCTTTAGTGCTAGTTTATTTAAACCTCATATATTCGTATGTATTCATTGATTTCATTCTGTTAATTATAAAGGACCATGCTTAGTGTTTGAAATCCAGTATATATATGTTTAAATAGAGAAGTCAAATGCTGAGATTAAAGAGGCTTCAAAAGGTTTGGAAGTGAAGTCAGCATGTACTGGAAGTCTTCAATTTCCTGAAGAAACAAAAAATGCAGGTTTACATGACAAAGAAACAGATGATCATGCTTATTACAATAAGTCTGACAAAAAATATCAAGATAATGAAGCTGATGACGTCCACCTTTGTGGTCACACTAGTGCTAGTCCAGAGATGGTGGGAAGAACAAAGTTGCAGATTCAGGGCGAGTGGAGAGGGGTTGACCCAGTTATCTTTTACAGGGACAATGAACTTACTAGTAAGATCAAAGATTTCTATGGTATTAAAAAATCCTTTTCGTTTGATGGAAATCTCGTTACAAGAAACAGTGATACTAAGAATGTGAAGCGAATATACTATGTATCCAAGTCTGTGAAGGAGGTTCTTGAACTCAATCTTCTTGCTGGGCAGCAGCTTAAGATAGCCTCAGTTGGTCTGAAAATGTTTGTAAGTTTTTTCCTACTTAGTACATATGACTCACACTTGATAGAAAGGGAATTATGGATATTGTTTGTTATAGCAAAGTTTTCACTACTACTTCAGCCCATAAACGTTCAATAAGTTCTTTTTTGATCCAAAAAGGAGTCATGGTTTATCTAGCGAATCTAAGTTTTCATATTCGCCAAAAAAGGTTAAACAAGAAAAATGTGACAATTTTTGGCTCCATTCGGTAGCTAGTTCTTGGTTATTATGCTTAACGATGTACGCAAAATAAGTAGCTATTGACTTACTTATTTGAATGGAATGGATTCCCCCAAATTCTTTTCCTTTCCATAAGATTTAGGAGAGTTAGCCATTTCGGCCAAAATGGCTAAATAACAAATTAGGAGCTTTATGGCCAAGATTTAGCCATTTGGCCATTTTTGGCTCCTAAGCTTTTCTTTTCCTTTCTAAGGAGATATTTCGGCCAAAATGGCTAAATATCTTCTGTAGTTCAACCAACAAAAAGAATTATAAACCACACAGGGTTTTATAAGTTTTTACTGGTGAACCTTGCCAATAACAAAAGTTTGTGTCATGACAAAAATGACTTTATTTGGATGGATGGAGAACCTATTAGACACCATATTTGGACCATTTTCCCTATCCCACATGTCAACAGGAAAAGATTTATGAGAAAAATGTGTGCCAGGGATAGATGTTTCTATCCCCGTTTTCTCTTCTTCTTTTCATCTAATGCCATTTATGACAATTTCAGTTTACTTTTTCATCCAGGTAAGACAGCCATATAAAGACGGTGCATCTGCACCCTGTGTGTTTCGCATTTCATCTGAGGGATTGCCGTTGTTACTGCCGCACATAACGAACCAAGTTTTATATGCATCTCTCTTGGACTTCAAACATCTATTGCAGTATAAAATAATCAAGTTTGCCGATTTTGTTGATTCCAACTTTAGAGAAAAGGCTTCTACTCTATTGTTGGGTTTCTGTGTGGTGGTTTTAGATAATAAAGGTTACGTTGTAATTGTCTTAGTGTACATTTGGATCCTCGAAAATGCCATGACTAGGAAAGAATGTGTGTTAAGTTATTTTCCTATGTTTGGTTTTACCAAGGAAAATTAAATATGATTTGCTGCTAGTCTATTATAATCTAAAAGCAAAATGTTTTTGGGGATGGGATTCCCGCTCAAAAATGTCACTATCAATACTTTTTTTTTTTGTGAAAATGAATACAAAACAATTATAGTGCAACGAGGTGTGTAGGCTCAAATAAATATGTTGTGTTCTTATGGGTTCATAACGGAGGTGGGGACTGTTTAGAATGCTTTTTTCCTATGGGTGGTTGTGGGTGGTGTGAACAGTGAATAAGATTTCATGAATATTTGTTCCTCACATACAGCTTGCGTAAGAATATAGTAATGGATCACACTGTTCTAATTTCAAATCTAAGGAGAACAGTGTTCCCGCCCAGTGCTGAATCTGTTTTGATTGGTAGCTTTGGAGGTGTGCACAGTGATGTAGGTGGGATGCCCATGCTGTTTAAACCTATAAAAGCATGACTAATGCTCTGCAGTCCCACATTCATTCGCATCTGCAAGCGGAAATAAAAAAGTGAATCAAATCTCATATTTGGGTATGTAGTCTCTAATCTCTATTACGTGAGATTGACAAGAGCAAAACAACCTGGGCAATGAAAGCCAGGCCATAAGGGTGTAGAGGGAGCCTGTTCACGATGCTTTCCTGCTAGAAATCATATTCCATGATGAGGAGGTCCAGAGTTTCTAACATTATTTTTTTAATTACATATTCAAATTTAATTTTATTCAAATTCCATGATGATATTCAAATTTTAATTGCATATTAATTCCATGATGATATTCAAATTTAAGTGTATATCACAAGAAGGATTTATTGGGTAGATGGTAACAATGCATATAATGTATATGGATGCATATGATGTATATGAATTTCACATCACTTTTCCTGTGGATAAACCAAATAATAGATGATGATACAAGTATGTCAGTCTTGATAAAGATTGAACTATTTATTTCGATTCTTGCAAAAGACAGATAATCAGATTCTCTCCAACGCAGCCCTTAGGTTATCATATTATTTTATTCGGAGTAGATGGATAGCCATGTACATTTAAACACACATTTCAAAAGTTATCCATGTGTATGGTTTTTGGATAAGCATTCCAAACTGTGTATTTGTGCATTTATGCAGTGTAACAATTCCTAATCTTGATGTGTAAAATAGTTCTGTATGAATTATAGTCAACATGTTAAACGTTTGTTATTAATGAGTATATGTTTCTACCATTTCTCTTGACTCTGTGTACAAACAATGATCAAGATGCACAGCAGGTGCATAGCAGTTCAATCAACAGTCTTTCCTAATTAGTAATTCATATTATTGAATCGGCTAAAAACCAAATTTCAAACTGAAACACAATTCAGTGGTCAAAGGTAATGCTTACCGCCTAATGCTTCAAATGTAGTGTTCTTTTGATTCTCCCCATAAGAACTTTTTGGGATGCTTCTTCGGAAGGCGCAATACTACTACACACAGACAAGATCTTCCGCAGAGCCATAGCTTTTCCCTTAAAGCAGTCAACCTGCTCCATTCAGAAATCCTAGCAATCGAAACCTCAGTCAAGTTTATGGTAGATCAGGATTACAATGAATTTCAAGTACAAACTAATTCCGAAAAACAGTAAAATTCATACAGAGAACGGAAAGAACTTCAGAATACCTCACCTCGGCAATAGAAAGCATCAAAACGCTAGGAGTCTCAAATAACCAGAGCTTCGTCATCCGTCACCGCGAGGCGAACCAGATAGCTCATTCCCTAGCCCAAGAAGGTCTCCAGCTGAGCGGACTGAATCAATGTGGCACCTCCAACCTCCCTTCGACGGCCAAAACAGCGTATTTACAAGGCCTTCATGGCTTCTACTTCTTCAGAGACGCAGGATAGCATCGTCCAACAAACAGAGACATTATAGCGACGAAAATTCTACTCTCTCAGAACACTCAATCAGCGGGACTCTCACTCTTCCGCACACCAAAGAAGGGTCTGGAAAATAGCAACCACTCTTCAGCGGCCCATGTTGCATTTCAATAAGTCAAAATTAATACTTCGTATTATAAATAATAAGTCAAAATGGCTTCAAAATTATTTCTTTTGAGAGAAATGGCCTGAATATTATTTTAAGCTATAATCGTTTTTATTATTAAGATTCATTAGTACAAAAAATTGTGCAAAAAACAACTTACTATCATATGTTACAAGAGATAAAAATGGAGATTTCAAAATGGTTAATAACTACATACTCCGTATTTTATATCTTTGTATAAAATTTACTTATATCTTTATAATTTTTGTTATAACTCATATCTAGATTATAAAAGAACTCATAATATTCCAAAACTCATAAATAGCATGATTGGATTCATTCCAAAATCTCACATTCTCACCCACATGTTCAATATAGACATTAATACATATAGAAAATAAGATAAATTAGTTTCTTAGATTATATCAATTATATTGAACATAGCCACTGATCTATTTTGGACATTATCAGGTTGTGTAGACAAAAGTTGTGCACAAGTGTACACAACTTCTTTTATTTGTGATTCTAAACAACAAGTTTTACAAATTGACTTCAATTCTTTTAATAAACTGATTTGGAAAATAATGAATTGTTGAATTCGTTTCTTTTAAACATATTTGTATAATTTAATCCCAAACAAATGTGATGATTACCTGTTTGTTGGATAGTTTAATCATCCCAACACAATTGCATATTCCAAGTGAATTTCCATAGAGGTAGGTTTTCCCCCAAAGCTTCCTGCAGCCAATATAATGTAATTAGATATTGCATCAAGCATAGTAACTTAATTATCAAAATTAATCACCAGTTAGATACCATATCATAAACACCTTCTTTCAGATCATAACAAAAGCCAATCGGTGAAGGATGATCTATTCTCAATGATTTCCGACTTAACAATAAAATGTACACAGTAACATTTTAAAGATAAGTACGAGCATATAAAATATAAAGTTTATCAAGCTAAAAACTGAAATAAACAAAAAACAGATCGTAAATACCATTGTTTGTAATTGCGCAATGCAATTGCGCCTCATGGCGTGCCTCATCTAATTCCTGGACTATGGCGTAAAAGGCATTGCATATGGCGTTGGGAGTGTGACGTACGCAATATTGCACTGAGGCGTACGCAATATTGGATACGCAATAAGGCGCTCTGAGGCGTACGCAATAAGAGGTCAGGGACTCAGGGTGTAAGGGTATTATTTGGGCCCACTCGGCCCACTTTAAAATTTTTATAATTGATCTTATGATCCCTATTTGAAACCAGTAGTTATTGATTGAAATTTTCAGTCAATCAATATAATTAATTTAAATTTTCATATCTTAGATTTTTGTTTTGATAAATGATTTAGAATGTTTTGGTATTCTATGGTACTTTGAAGTTTGAACATGTTACTTTGCTTGGCCTCTTATGGTTTGTTTTAATATAACATTTGATGACTTTTGATGAATATGTTTATTTTTTATTATGTTTATATTGATGAATATGTTTATTTTTTATTATGTTTATATATATATAATATATACTCCCTCCGTCCCCTTTTAAATGTCCCGTTTTACCATATTGTGATGTCCTTATTTAATTGTCTCATACCTTATTTGGTAAAGTTTGTGTGGCTCAAAATTATTCTTACTTTATTCTTACTTTATCAATTAATATCAACCACACAAACTCACTTTTCTTAAAACCCGTGTCACCCTCTTCCGGGACATTTAAAAGGGGACAGAGGGAGTATATATTACGCCTCAGCTATACGCCTCATTGCGCAATGAGGCTTACGCAATATGCAATATTAAAAAAACGCCACGACTACGCAATTCGCAATTTCGAGATTTACTAAATACCTAATTTCAAATCCAAACAAATACCAAAAGGTGAATGATAGTGTGGTCTGTAGGATTTCTGACTCATATAATACAAGAACACAAATATAGGGTTTAGATTAGTGTTAGCATGTAGACATAAAAAAAAAGTATATAAAACTAAATCTTGAAGTCTATCTGCCAAATATTCCTTTCATATGGAGTAATACGTATAAAATACCCCCTTTCAAATCTATATATAAATACAAATCGGTGTACATCTTTTTGTTCTCTACCAATTTCAAGCTCTGACATTAGATACAAAACTATGTATTTGTAAAATCAGTTATGCATATGCTAGGACCTTAAGAATATGAAATAAAATGGAATGGAAAAGATAGATATATTTACCTACATCACCGTTGAAATAGATGTTGTATGTTTTCTCGCAGTCGCCGTTGGTGAACAACACCACTTGACGACCTGACCGATTTGAGTTCTGTGTTTGATGTTGTAGGAGGCTTCACTATGAACAGGCGGTGAATGTGTTTTGTGGTTGGATCAGAAATAGGACTCTAGCGGAATAGAGGCGGCAAACCTAGGAGTAGGAGAAGCTACACCGGTGGGTGGATTTTGGGGTGAGAGTTGGTGGGAACAACAGGGACGGTAGGGGACGTTGGAGTGGACTGTTGTGACAGGGTGATTGGAGGGGACAGAGTAGGAGGAGTTGCGGAAGGAGGTGTCACATATGAAGAAGACGGACTGGAGTTGAAGCTTTCTTCGGGGAAGACAACGGAGACCTAAAGCAGATCCAACCACCGCAAGCGACCAACGAGTAAATAAGGAAGTTAGGAAGTTACAACAAGCCATATCTTATCCTCAATACCCGAGACGAGATCTGGATAGAAAATGGGCAAATATCACTTCACAGACGGTAAACTTGTGCTGAACAATCTAGATCTGGCATACAAAAGTGGTGGCTTTAAGTAAGTATGTACGAAGTATTGTTTTACTATCGTATATTCGTATTTGCTTTTTGCTTTAAAAAAAGTAGTGATTAGTAGTAAAAGTTAATATCGTTAAGAAAAAATTATTTCAAAAAGTAAAAAAGTTGGTAGTGTTTATTGAAATATATGCTTTTTTCGTGATAGAAATACCAAAAAGCACTTTTCAGCAAAAACCAAGAAATAGGTTTTAAGTAGAAATTATCACCTGGAAACGCTAATTTTAGTTTTTTAAACCCAAAATCCGAGAAACTAAG